TGTATCAAGAGGCAAAGGATGCCGCTGCTCTCTGGACAAATGAAACGCTGGCAGGTCGGAGAGGGGTAATAATGGCAGCCTCTAAGCTTGTGTGTATCCTGCTGGGTTACGTGCCCATCGCTGTGATGCAGAGTGCCTGGCTACGGAAGTCGAAATACCAGTAGTTGACTCAATCCTCCACCGTCGTTCTGCTTTAAGAGATGTGGCTGGCAGGATTTTTTTTTTTTCTTTCTTTGGTCTTCTTTTCAGCATTCCCTCTTCCCCCAACAGTGGGTTTTTTCACTTCCTACCCTGGTTTCCTTTCTATTTTTCTAGTGTTGTTTTTTCTTTCAGTTCAGCTTAACCTCTACCTATCTTGACTAAGCTCATCTGTTTTATTAAAAAAACATTTTCTTCCCCATCGTTCCCCCCTACCGTTTATGTTAGGGTTGTTTGCCCCGCTCCGTATTGTCCGATTAGACTGCAAGCGGTTTGGAGCAGGCAGGGGTGGGTGGTGGTTATGTACTGCCTGAGGACCAACTAGGAATGGCAGCATGCTGGGTGCCTTTTCATACGTTTTGGATTATGAATATTTTCAGGGGTTTCTTGAATCATCGTGTTTATAAGGTACTGTAAAACCCTCTGGTGTAACATGCCAGAGAAGTGCAGAGTAGCTTATTTTAGTTGACTTTGAGGACTGCAGTGTGGGTGTGGTTTATGATACTGGAAAAAATTGCAAAACTTGCTGGTTTTGTATTTTCTGTCACATTTATATTGTTTTTTGGGGTTTTTTTTTTGTACGTGTTTTACTTTTCTTACATCCTGATGTGAATTACTGGCTGTCTTGCAGATTGTTTCAAGCCATGCATGTTGATGGTGGGTTCTGGGAAGATGAAGATGAAGACTAGTAGCTTTCTCTAGCAACAGAAGCTGAACAAACCAGAGACGGATGCTTTCCATTTTTTTTGTCATTTGTTTGCTTTTCACTTCCATTCTGTGACAGAAGAATGATAACTGCGTCGCTCTGCAGGATGCTCACACTTCAGAGGCTGTTGCCAAAACCAAAAGAGAACACTTTACCCATCCTGTGGTCAGGATCACCACTGAAGGCCCTAAAAACCATACCCATTGCTAAAGATAGGTACCACCAGTCAGAAGTTGGAAAATTACTGGGAAAATGTATACTAAGAGGTGCCCCTTTTTGAAAAGCAGACACAAAACTGAAGCCCCAAAGCAGAGACATTTGGGGGTTTCCATGAGGGAGACTGACCTTTCGAGGATCTTGGCGTATCCACTGCGGGTTTTAGGGCAGTTTTGTTTCAGCTGTAGCGCTCTTTGTGGAGCTCTTAGCAATGCTGCTTGGACAGGGAGAGTTTCTGGTACAATACAGAAAATTTCTGCAGTATTCAGCAACTGAGGCTATTGTTTCTGTAGCATTTCCTGACCTGTTTCTCAGAAGAGCAGCTCATTGCTCTGTCACTGGTACTTCTAATGATGATTGATTATCCCTAGCCTCCTCCTTCCTGGCTGCAGTGCCTGGGTCTTTGCGCTGCTGAGTGCTTTGGCAGAAAATGACCAATGACCATTTCCAGGAATCTGAATCCGTGTGATCTCTCATCTCGGTGTTGCTGTTGTATTCACTCACGTTGCCTCTCCTTGTTTTGACAGTGATGAGTGCTAAGGCGACGAGCTGAGTATGTGGCCAGTGAGAGGACGAAAAGTATCAGTCAGATATTGAAACGCATTTTTATGGATACATAGTTGAGATTCACATGAATTCTTCAAGATGGGGAAAATTACCTCGACTTTTCAGATCATGAAGTAACTTATTTTTTACTAATTCTTCATGTAAGAGATTTGATCAGTTGACAGTTTTGCTTCTGGACTAGATACCTGATGTCCACCGCTCTTGCACTTCACAATATTTCAAAAACCATATTGTTTCCCCCAAAAGCTCGGTAAGTAGTTTTTTGAGCATGAAATACATTACTGGAAGGAACCACTGATTTTTTAGAAGTTTTTCCACTTGCAGAATGGTCTAAAAGTGTATTTTGAAATTAAAACTGCATGTGCTGCATTCAAAACAACTAGCAGGGTCCAGATGGATAGCTCAGGAGCTGGAAGGCTTCAGAAATTCAAGGTGAAAACCTCTCGCTCAATTTTTACTCTTAGTAAATGAATTTGTACTCTGATATCTGTCCCCAGTCAGTGCCAATTTAGTTGCATTCACAGAGGATAGAAGTCTGTGCTATTAGAATTGGCAGTGATTAAAAAGATAGGAGAAGGAAAGAGCAGATCTCTTGTCTTGGCTTAGGCTATAGGACAGCGTGTAGGGGAAGGT